CGCTAGGTCGTGGAGGTACATTGTGCAGGTGGGGGCTAAACTTGAGAGGACTACACCTGTCCCAGGCCTCCTTTCCTGTCCAGCGTTCGTTCTAGAGCACAAGCAGTAATTAGATCCGTGTCTCCCCGTCAGGAAGAGTCGAGAAGCCCAGCCATCTCACTTGCCAAAAAACCTTGCACGGCAGATGCAGGGCGACTGACTGATAGGTCGTGGAGGTACATTGTGCAGGTGGGGGCTAAACTTGAGAGGACTACACCTGTCCCAGGCCTCCTTTCCTGTCCAGCGTTCGTTCTAGAGCACAAGCAGTAATTAGATCCGTGTCTCCCCGTCAGGAAGAGTCGAGAAGCCCAGCCATCTCACTTGCCAAAAAACCTTGCACGGCAGATGCAGGGCGACTGACTGATGCCAATTTGTGTAAACCAACCGGACTGACAGGGAACCGGTCTGTGGAGTCCTGTGCAGAGCAGAACTCTGTCACAAGCGCTCCGCTCCCAGCCACGCCTGGATTCTGAGCACAGTTGAAGCTTCGTCCATGAGCCCTTAACAGCCTAATGCAATACACCCAATGTCATCAAAGCCTGAGCTATAAACGGGTTAAATTGAGTAGTGCGCAACCCCCACCTTGTATGGGAAATAATGTAAGAATGGCCACACTGGTCAGACCAAAGGTCCATCCAGCCCCCTGTCCTTCCTGCCCCCAGTGGCCAGTGCCAGGTGCCCCAGAGGGCATGAACAGAACAGGGACTCATCAAGTGATCCCTCCCCTGTCATCCATTTCCAGCCTCTGACACACAGAGGGTAGGGACATCATCCTTACCCATCTTAGCTAATTAGTATTAATGGAGCTAACCTCCATGAATTTATCTAGCTCTTTTTAGAACCCTGTTTAAGTCCTGGCCTTCACAACATCCTCTGGCAAGGAGTTCCACAGGTTGACACTGCACTGCTTGAAGAAAAACTTCCTTTTGTTTGTTTTAAAGCTATCTTACCATAGTCTTTTCTCTAGATTTATGTATGTGGGACCCAACCGTAAGGAATGGGTAGTGAGAGATAGCTCCACTGCAAAGTAGCTGTGCAGAAAAGGGCAGTGACACTAAACACAGCCCCAGAACTGCACCCTAGGCCCTGTATAAATAGAACAAAGATACTCCTCACCCCTAAGATCTTACAAGGTAAGATACGAGAACAGGGCGGGACAGACGGGAGCGCACCCATACCTGTGACAGTAATCCTGCGAGCCTGGATGTGTGATGTTAAGAGACACGTTACCAGGCATTGACATGAGCTAGGTGCCTTTTCATTCCCATCCCTGGCGTTTGCCGGGCGAGACGGCGCAGCACTGCGGGTCACAGGGCTGTAGTCGGAAGCGCAGAGCCATGCAGGTGGCTTTGGGCTCTCGCCACCTCACCTACCCGGCGTTTGGGGAGGGGCCGACCCAGCAGCAGACTGGCAGAGTCCGCCGGAGCGGCACGCGCTGAGGACTCTTGTGAATGCGGTTTGTTTAACTGAGCGTGAACCCCCACGCTGAGGGCTGCTTAAGCCAATGCCGATGTTTTAGCAGAAAGGATTGAAAACAGGCCGAGGGCACGTGGCCCTTCGTCAGCTACATGCCAGCAGGGCGGGTGGACACTGAACTCCGGCATGCGGGGCCTGACCCTGGCAGCAGGGCCACTCGGTGGAAGGCCACCCCAGACGGGCCTGCAGCGCGTTCCTCAGCCCATACGGGTATAAACCTGCCTCCTCTCCTCTGGTCTCAGGCTGCCCACCAGCTGCGCTTTGTCAGGCAGTGGTCCGTGTTCGGCAAAACCCTGCAGAAGTCCACGCGGGAGCTGGCTGCCGCCGGACTGGCCTTCACGCTGCTCCTCCTCGCTTATTCCCAGCTTGGCTTCCTGGTAAAGAGACACGCTCAAGTCTCCCCCTTCACGTTGTGTTGCGGGGGGGGAAGCTACTGGAGTGTGGGGCGGGGGGTAGGGGGACTCAACACTGATACAAGCCAGAGTACTCGCAGGAGCAAAGCTCAGCTCAGCTGGCCCCCTTCCTGGTGGGTAGCAGCACCTGACCGGCCCGGGAGGTAGAACTAGAGCAGGGGTCAAACTTCTTGGCCCACGTCCCACCCCACTGAATGCAAACCTTCCTGCAGACCCCCAGCCAGCCACTCGTGAGGGGGGTAGGGGGACTCAACACTGATACAAGCCAGAGTACTCGCAGGAGCAAAGCTCAGCTCAGCTGGCCCCCTTCCTGGTGGGTAGCAGCACCTGACCGGCCCGGGAGGTAGAACTAGAGCAGGGGTCAAACTTCTTGGCCCACGTCCCACCCCACTGAATGCAAACCTTCCTGCAGACCCCCAGCCAGCCACTCGTGATGACACAATAGGTGCAGGAGGCAGGCAGGGGTGAGGTCTGGGTGGGAGAGTGCAGGAGCTGGGTGGTGGGGAGGGTGCAGGAGCAGGCTGGGGGTAGGGGATCTGGTCATGAGGCAGATGGCCACTCAGACCTCGCTTTATACCTCCTGCGGCTCCAAGGCCCCGCCCCCACTGCTCCCATTGGCTGTGATTCTGGCCAATGGGAGCAGTGGGGAAAGCCTCCAGGGAAGTGGTTTCCTGCGCTGCTGTTCCCCCAGCCGGGAGGAGAGCAAGTGGCAGTGCATAGAGCCGCTTCCTTCCCTCCACGCCGGGTCGGGTCCACGAGGCTCGCCCTCGCCCTGCAGCGGGAAGCCGGCACTGGCGTGCCAACCTCGTGGGGAGAGGGAGGGGCAGGCCCGGAGCTCTAGCACAAGCTCTATGTTGTGGGGGCGGGGGGAAGAAAAGCCCTGAGGCCTCAGCCCACCTGCAAGAAGGTCACAGACCACAAATGGTCCTTGGACCACACTTCGAGAACCACAGTCCAAGCGAGAGTCCCTCTAGGTCAGGGTTGGGGCAGCCTGTCTGCGCCGGAGCTGGTAGATGGAGCAGGCCTAAGCCTGGGATACTGCCACTTGCCTGCCTTGGCGAGGCGCTTGGAGCTCAGCAACAGACAGGCCGTCTCTGGGGGGAGTGTGGCCTCTGCCATTGAGACAACGCCCTTCCATTTCCCCCCGCCCGCCTTTCCTTCGCAGCTCTTCTCCTCCTGCTCCGAATCCTTCCACAGCTTCAGCAGCAGCCTCCTGCTCCTCCTGGCCGCCATCCGCGGCAGCGTGAACCTCCGGCTCTGCCTGCCCGAGCCCTCGGGGCTCTACTACCTCTTCTGCACCAGCTACATCGCCCTGGAGATGTGGATCATGCTGAGGCTCTTTGCCGCCGTGCTCATCCACAGCTACCGGGAGATGAATTTCGAGCTGTGCCGCCCGGCCTTCGAGCCCCAAGACTACGAGATGGTGGAGCTCTTCGTCCGCCGCCTGAAGCTTTGGATGGGCTTCAGCAAAGTCAAGGAAGTAGGTGCACTGCCCTACGGGGTGCCAGGGCGTGCTAGCCGGGCAAGGCCCAGGCTCCTGGCTGGCGTGAGGTCCCCAGGGGGCAGCAGGGGAGGGATGTTTGGCCTAGTCAGTGGCCTTCATGGGGCCGTGGGGGCTGGTGATACAGACACTCGGATTGTTTCCCTCATTTCCATTGGCAGTGGGGCGGGGGCAAGCACTGACAGACGCCTGCCCACAGCTCTATGGGTCACAGCGGTGATCAGAGGCAGGAGGATCGGCAGCAAGAGCAGGCGTCCCAAGGAGTCAATTGCTTCTCTTAGTGCGGCTCAGGGATTTGGGCTCATTCAGTCTGCAGAAGAGAAGAGTGAGGGGGGATTTGAGAGCAGCCTGCAACTTCCTGCAAGGGGGGTTCTAGAGAGGATGGAGAGAGGCTGTTCTCAGTGGGGGCAGAACAAGGAGCAATGGGCTCAAGTTGCAGTGGGGCAGGTCTAGGTTGGAGATTAGGACAAACCATTTCCCTAGGCGGGTGGGGAAGCGCTGGGCTGGGTTCCCTAGGGAGGGGGTGGAATCTCCAGCCTTGGAGGTTTTGAAGTCTCGGCTTGATCAAGCCTTGCCTGAGCTGATTGAGTTGGGGTCGGTCCTGACTTGGGCAGGGGGCTGGACTCGATGGCTCCTGAGATCTCTGCCGGCCCTGGGATTCTATGATTGGGGGCAAGAGCAGACTGCACCCGGCATTGTCCCCGCATTGGGGTCACCCCCTGGCCAAGCCGTTGGAGATCGTCATCCAGGCTGAGAGGAGGATACTGGGGTGGAATGGGCGCCTGCAGAGGGCACCTCCCGGGGCAAGGGGCAGGGCTCCCGAGGGCTGGATCTCTGCGCTAACCCTGTTTCGTGCTCGCTTCCCTTCCAGTTTCGGCACAAGGTGAGGTTTGAAGGGATGGAGCCGTTACCGTCCCGCTCCTCCAGCGACTCCAAGTCCTTCCGGGGTCCCACCCCCAGCGCAGCCTCCGACAGCTCCAGGGCTTCCACTTCCTCCAGCCAGCTGGACGTGCTGAGCACCAGGGAGAGCTCAGAGGTGGAGGCCGACGTCCAGCGTCTCCTCTCCCTCTTCGAGGTGCTGCTGGCCCAGTTTGACCGGGTGAACCAGGTGACGGAGGAGGTCTATCGCATCGAGCAGCAGCTGCAGGACTCCCAGAGCAGGAGGACCAGGATGAAGTCCATCCAGATGACAGAGGACCTGCTGACTAGCTACTGCCTGGAGCGCACAGAGCAGGGACTTCCTCCTGAGAACTTTTCTGACGACTTGCACCCTCCCCGAGACCCTGTCTTGCCCTCCCACCCCGCCAGCGCCCTGGAGAGCAGCACAGACCGTGTGCCCAGCCCAATAATCCGAGCCAGTAGGGGCATCAGCCTAGCATCTTCTCTGCTTTCCCTGCACAAGACACACACTCCCCCAGCGTCAGTGGTCAGGAAGAAAAAAACGCTCCGGGCAAAGAACAAGGTCCACCCCAGCATCAAGTAACTGGAGACCACGTGCAGCGCCACTGGGGAAATACGTCACCGCGCCTTCGCGGGGAAGGCGGTAAGAGCCTCGGAACGTGACCCATGAAGGTTCCACCGCCGCTTGGGGTCAGAGCCGGAAGTCGCAAGGGGCTGCCGGTGTGGAAAACGGAAGCATTCGCTGTGCCGTGCTGGGCTCTTGGCCAGCTTGGATGCTGGCAGCATCACTGCCGCCTCAGGACATGCAGCTGAGAAGATGCTGTGAGTCTCCCACGAGCCTAATGAAGATGGACACAGCCGCTGTGAGTTGTACACCCTGGCAGCTTCTGACTCCACGGGTCCTCACTTTCCTGTTTTGTTTAGCGATGGTTTCACAGCTTTTTGGTCGCCTTGGAGATTGTTGGTCCTTTGGGCCAGGGCAACCTCCACGACCCAGCGTCACCAAGGCCAGAGGAGAGAGGCTGCAAGACATTCACCTCACCATAGCTAGCACCGGCAGCAAGAGGAAAAGCAACGTTAACCGGGGCTGATAGTAAACAGAAGTGTCTCACAAAACGAGCACGTTTCAAAAGCACTGGCCCGGTACTGCTAAGTTGCTCTAGCAAGAGCTGCGGCGAAGTAAAGCGAATGCCGCCAGGATCACCTCCAGAAGGATTTCCCGGGCTCAGCGGGCTGGGCCAAAAGCCGAGGGGAGAGGAGGTGACATTCCGAGTACTTCATGGTTTTATCGACTTGTGGGTTCACAGACCGGACACCGTGGAGGAAAACGACAGGTTTCAGGGGGATATTTAACTCAATCATTGTATCGGCATGAATATATAGAGACAGTATCTACACCCAGGGCGGTTAGTTTGCAGTATTGGCTAGTGTTATCCTCCAGCATTTGATACTATTATTTGTATTTAAAAATTATTTAAAAATATGAAAGACCGTGACATCCCTATCAAGCCACCGCTTCCAATCAGCAACCAGTCTTAGGGAGTGGCAATTAGTGACAGCTCCGCTAAAAAGGTACTGGAGACCTAGGGGGAGTTCTTCTAATTGGTCACTCAAACGAGGGGGCTGCCGGCTCAGCTCCCCTTTCGCTACTGATCTTTCCCCAGCCAATAGATTGAATGGGTAAGTGTGGTGCGTTGGTTGCTTGGTTTCTCTTGTTGAAGGAATGTATTGACATAGGTATTTTTTTGGTTTACTTTTTTGTATGTACTGCCCAGCACTTTAAACAATGCTTTCCTTGGCTAACCACGACACACGCAAACGTTTTAACGAGAACGGAATAATATATCGTGAAAGCAGTATTTTTTTTTAAACATACACGGAAATGAGCAATCGGTAATGTGAACGCAGCTCCCCAGTGCGCCATCCCGGGTGCAGCCACACCTCCAGGGCTGGGTGCCGGCTAACGACCCTCAAACCTTCTCACCCACAAACGTAGGAGTGCCCCACGGGAAACAAATGCCTTCAGATAAACAAACGCTCTAGAGGATGCAGGAAACAAGCCGCCTGGCAGCGGAAAGAAGTGGGGCGAGACAAGGGCAAACAGGTCTTGGTTTGCTCCTGTCCGGGACAGGAAGATGTATCTGCTCCCACTCCCCACGGTGCTGTAAGCCAGAGTATATTGAGCTACAACTGCACTACATTTGATAGGCCATGGCAGGTACGTGTTGAGCACTTCCTACCCCCTCTAGAAAATCAGAACAGTGGCAATCAAATGCACCCATGTGGGCAGCCCCCCTCTGTGCCGATTATTTCCAGCTCTGCTAAGAGGTGCTAACATCAGCAAAATTGTCCTGGCAGCGAGTGCCTGTGGAAACGCCCTCCCCAGGCTGCGTTCACCTCACCCTTGCCGTTCCGCGCTATGTCGATTGTAAGTAATTTATACGGGGTTTTGAAATGTATATAGTTATGTATGTTTGCTATATTTTCATAGCAGCGGTGCCGTGTGTGACACATGTAGATAGCCGACAGAACACTGATGTCAGAGTTATTTAAAGGGTGTATGAAGTGCTTCTTTCCGGGACTGTTCATTGTATATAAAGTATTAGGTGTCGGCGTGCGTGTGCGCTCTTGTGCCCGACGACGAGGCGCGGGCTGGCCTGGCCCGCTGTCAGGCTCAACACAGGGAGCTGAGTGCGGCAACGGGGTCGCTCGCGATGCCTTTGGGGTTCTTCCCCAGCCCCCGGCCAGTTCTGCTCAAGGCTTTCGAATGGTAGAGCTGTTCGCCGGCTGCCCGTTGAAACCAAAAGGCCAATATTAGCGGGGGCTGTTGTTCCTGGTACAGCATCTCCTTTTTGACCCCAGCTGGCTTCCAGGGCTGCCCCGTTTGGCTCGTCACATGGCTCTCTTCCAAGCCCTTAAGCTCCCTAATCCAGGGGAGGAACGAGCTGATGGGAAGTCTGTGCTCCTTTCATGCAGGCTAGAGCCACTTCCTTTCGCATTGGTGGCTCTTCCCTTTTGGCAGCTCGTTCGCCATCTCCAGCTCCTGGTTTTCTCCTGCTGCGCATGTGAGATGGAGGCATGGAGCTTGGTAATCCAGCTGGCATCCAGGCTGCCTTGCGCCACGCTTGCTGGAGACTTGAGCTGCAAGCCCGGGATTTCCTCGCGAGGAGGTTTGCCTTCAGGGAAGTTCGTTTGGACGTTTTGGACTTGCGGAGCTGACTGCAGAGGACAAAGTTAGGTGCGGCCTTGTCGAAGGCGCAGGGGAGAGGTTAGCGTGAGGGCGAAAGAAAGGCGAAGGCGGTTTGGTGGGGGCGGGGAGGGCCTGAAAGCACAGAAGGCAAGGCTGGAAGTAGAGTAGAGCGCGAAGGAAATGGGAGCTGGAGCCCTGGGCGAGCTTCGCAGAGGGGCGACGGAAGATCGGCAGGGGCAGAGTCCCAGCAAAGTGACATGCTTGGAATGTTGGAAGAGGCAGCGGCAGACAAGTTGGAGAAGTGGAAAGTGGAGCTTACTTGGCACCTATCCGTTAGCACAGGCCTGGGCACCATACGGCCCAGGAGCCGGATCTGGCCCAGAGCAAGGGGCAGGTTTTGCTATTGAGTTTACAGCAATAAATCCTATTGCCTACACCCAAATGATTTTATATCCCTATTACTGCACTCTATCTGCCCTGAGATTTGAATCAATTCCGCTCCCTCCCCTCCCCCCAAAACTACTTCAATGCTGCTTTTGAACAACCCCCCTTCCCTTCACTTTTTACAAGCAACAGAAGCACTGTTTGGGTCTGCCCCATGGGCTCTGCAAGGTTCCCCGCACACGGCTTTGGAGACAAAGCAGCGTCAGCGGAGAGATTATGGGAACATGCCAGGGCCGCAGTGCTGTCTGTACTGGCCAAACTAGCAACTCGTGTGATGCCCCAAACCTGTTCTTGGGGGCAGGGGGTAGCCAGGATTCAGCTTGTTGCGGTCCACCAGAGGCACTGTGACACCATGGGCAAAGTGACAATTTCTAGGGGTCCTTTCCCCTGGCTGTACACAAGAGCTGAAGTACTCCTTCAGCTCAGGGCGAGAGATGTGAGGCCGAGTATTTACTCCTTCAGCTCAGGGCGAGAGATGTGAGGCCGAACCAGGGGTCAGTACAGGGGAACTTGGGTGAACCCCTCTGGCCTGGGTTAGGCAGCCCTACTGCTCCCTCAGCAGGCTTTCATTGATGCCTCTTTGAAGGGGCCCCGGAAGTTCTCAGAGAGGACTGAGAATGAAGTGGTGCGAAAGGCACTCCCAGTATTGCTGCATGAAGGGAGGATTTCCAAGTGCCCCACCGCCTGGAAAAACAATAAACATTCCTGACATGTCTGCGGGCGGGGATGGTTGGTTGTGTTCAATGAGTGAGCCCCAACTGGACAATAGGGCATCTTGGAACAAGGTGGGGGTGGCTGGTTGTGTTCAATGAGTGAGTCCCAACTGGACAATAGGGCATCTTGGAACAGACTCTGGGGGATTCAATTCCATTGGCTACATACAATGCACTTTCTAATGGAAGAAGCGTCCAGTTGTGGAGATGTTTGGCCTCAAGCAGAGAAACGGGTGGCACGAATCAGCTAATGAGCTTTGATTATTAACGAGTAAGGGAATTAGCACCCCTGTGTTCAGGCAGCAGACAGACAGTGTCTCTAGGATTCATACATAAGGCATTATGGATGCTCTAGTTTTGTATTAGTGGGAATTCCACCATTGGCGCATCCTTCCTAACCTAGCTTTAGGGCCCTTTTTCCACACCTGGAGGGATTTTTCCAGTGAAGAGAGACCCTCCCCTCTAAGTGAATGTGGCAACTTTGCCAACTTTTTTTCCCCCCAGGATTCCCATGGCCACTAATACCCCTTACCTGAAAGCTTGGCTCTAGATTCGGAACAAATTAGCTTCCTCTCTGCATTTGGGAAGGTAGCACCCGGAGGACAGAGGACAGGGCGTGCACTTAGGCAAAACAAATAAACCCCACATTGCTACCGCTAGGGTTGCCAGCTGTCTGGTTTTGAACTGGACAGTCCAGTATTTGAGCTTTCTGTTCGGGAAACACATTGAGAAAATATCAACGTCTGGTATTTTCTGAATAAGATGCACTGTAGATTGTGATGTACTGTCACATGTGTCCGGGATTTTTGTTGAAACCATCTGGCAACCCTAGCTACTACAGGGTTTCCCCGCCCATGTTTTAAGAGTGCAGCCTGCATGCAGCCAGGCCAGCTGAGAAAACACTAATATAATCCTATCTAGCCGTGCTCATGTGATGCCAACCTGGCTTCCCACATGGCTTAGAACAATTAGCCACTGAACTATCTAGCGGTGCCCCCAATGCAGGCCAGCCAAGACTCCCCTGAAGAGCTAGCCTAGAGGGCAGGCTGTAGCTGTGACAGCAGTTACAAACAGTGGCTGGGATGATGGTTAAGAGCTGTCTGAGACAAGAGGCCTCTCAATCAACCATAATTGCCAAGAGCTAAATGGTAGATGTAGGGTCTGGACGCTATGGCTGAAGGTACCGTTTGACTGGCCAAGGGCTTTGAAAGTCCAGTAAAACCTAGAAGCGTGAAAGGGCAAAACTGAGACGCTTGCGGTCAGCCTGCGGTTGGCAGCAATAGATTTAGACTCCCCTCCCCCCCAAACCCAGCAGTTAATTGAACACGGGCTGTAACGTTGAGAGAGGCTGGAGCCCTGAAAGCCAAAGGCAGTTGCGCTGCCTTTTGCAGGCTCACAGCTGGTGGCAAAGGTTAAATTTAGGACACACCCACTGTGGCGAGCTGGCATTGCTTGAAGTTTGGCCTTCAAACGAATGAGCGGCTTCGCCCGCTAGCTGAATGCATGTGCGCATGGAGGTGTGAGTGAGTCCCACCAAGTGCTGCATCGAACTGCAGAGGAGCAAAGCTGGATTAGGACAAGGGCCCTAGTGCTTTTCCTGGCTCCAAGTCTGTGAAGAGGCGCTAGAGAAAAGCCGGACGCTCCCAGGCAGGGTAGAACACACCGCGGTAATGCTCTCCTAGCAGCACGGCTTTGTATGGGACCTTTAGTCGCAAGCAGGGGGTTCCTGGCAGTGACCCCGCTAAGGGGTCAAGTATACAAAACCTGAGCTTCATTGCAGCCACAGCTATTAGTCATGAGATTATACTCCTTGTCCACAGCAATTCATTCAACTTGCAGCCCTACTAAGTACTCTTGAATGTATATTTTGTGTTTATAGTCACCGAGCGATGGTTTCTTATTTATTGCCTGAAGTCTCACCATGATGCAATCATATCAAGCTGCTTGAACAGGGCCCTACCAGCTAGTTAAGGGGTGGGAGGTGGGTGGGCAATCCGTATAATGCTTTCTGTAGCAGTGGATGGTCAGGGCGAATGCACCAACATAGTGCCTGCTGGTCCCTGTTGCATTTGCAAACAGAATAGCCAATTTTGTAACGGCGGGAATGTTTCTTAAAAATGACAATGTCAAATAAAAACCATGGACTGCTAAGTAAGTGTCTGCAATGCTTTTGGTGGGAGCTGTTACCCTAACCTTGTTGCCCATTAGCAATCATGTGCACAACTCTCTACGGTACATACAGCACCACAGGAAGGTTTGAAAGCTACTCGCTGCAGACCTAGTCCAACTCGAGTACTTTAATTGCTCAGTAAATTCTACCCCCTGAGAAATACGCATTTGTCACCAAAAGTCAAAAACTGATAACAGGATAATTACTCATTATTACTGCATTGAGGAGCTTTGAAATCTCTGATAGAAGTTCTATAGGTTGAACCTCTCTGGTCTGGCAACATTTGTCATCCAGCATGATTTGAGTTGGCCAGAAACCTACTTACTCTGGGTGTGGCCCAAGTTTTCCCCAGTCCCATAAGCTTGTTTCTAGCCACCCGTCCTGGCTGTGTCATCCAGCGTGATTTGAGTTGGCCAAAAACCTACTTACCCTGGGTGTGGCCCAAGTTTTCCCCAGTCCCATAAGCTTGTTTCTAGCCACCCGTCCTGGCTGTCAGGGTTCTGGGCTGTTCTTTAGCTCTAACTTACCCCTAAATGTCTTCCGAAGCAGGGGAAGGGTTGGTCATGCTGCTAGACAATATTGACCTCCCGTGGTCTGGCACCCGTCAGGTGCTCAGGATGCTGGACTAGAGAGGTTCAAGCTGTACTTTAAAACTAATACAGAATTTGTTCAGTGTACAAGAGGCTGTCAGGGCCTTGCTTGTGGCTGAACTTTACTGGCATATAGACTCAAACATCCATCAGCGCTCCATGGATGTCACTGGGAAACGCTAGCATTGCTCTAGTTGCAATGTTAACATCTGAAAAATTCACAAAGGGGAGGTAGAGGCAGACTTCCATCCATGTCAGATGTCAACACCCAAAAACTGCTAAGTGGTGCTTCAGAGAAAGAAGTTTATAGGGTCTCGGTCCAGGGTTGCTCAGCCATGGGTTAGGGATGTGAATGACTAGTTGACTATCGGAAAACAAATGCTTATCGGACAGCTGACACACACTAGCTGACTAGTTGCTTCCCGC